ACAATACCATGGCTACCACAATAAGTCACAATACCATGGATGCCACAATATGTCACAATACCATGGATGCCATAAGTCACAATATCATGGATGCCACAATAAGTCACAATACCATGGCTACCACAATAAGTCACAATGCCATGGATGCCATAAGTCACAATATCATGGATGCCACAATAAGTCACAATACCATGGCTACCACATTAAGTCACAATACCATGGATGCCACAATAAGTCACAATACCATGGCTACCACAATAAGTCACAATACCATGGATGCCAAAATAAGTCACAATACCATGGCTACCACAATAAGTCACAATACCATGGCTACCACAATAAGTCACAATATCATGGATGCCACAATAAGTCACACTACCATGGCTACCACAATAAGTCACAATACCATGGCTACCACAATAAGTCACAATATCATGGATGCCATAAGTCACAATATCATGGATGCCATAAGTCACAATATCATGGATGCCACAATAAGTCACAATACCATGGCTACCACAATAAGTCACAATACCATGGCTACTACAATATGTCACACTACCCTGGATGCCACAATAAGTCACAATACCATGGATGCCACAATAAGTCACAATACCATGGCTACCACAATAAGTCACAATACCTTGGATGCCACAATAAGTCACAATACCATGGATGCCACAATAAGTCACAATATCATGGATGCCACAATAAGTCACAATACCATGGCTACCACAATAAGTCACAATACCATGGATGCCACAATAAGTCACAATACCATGGATGCCACAATATGTCACAATACCATGGCTACCACGATAAGTCACAATACCATGGCTACCACAATAAGTCACAATACCATGGCTACCACAATAAGTCACAATACCATGGATGCCACAATAAGTCACAATACCATGGATGCCACAATAAGTCACAAAAACCATGGATGCCACAATAAGTCACAATACCATGGCTACCACAATAAGTCACAATACCATGGATGCCACAATAAGTCACAATACCATGGATGCCACAATATGTCACAATACCATGGCTACCACGATAAGTCACAATACCATGGCTACCACAATAAGTCACAATACCATGGCAAACCACAATAAGTCACAATACCATGGATGCCACAATAAGTCACAATACCATGGATGCCACAATAAGTCACAATACCATGGCTACCACAATAAGTCACAATACCATGGCTACCACAAAAAAATCACAATACCATGGCTACCACAATAAGTCACAATACCATGGATGCCACAATAAGTCACAATACCATGGATGCCACAATATGTCACAATACCATGGCTACCACAAATAAGTCACAATACCATGGCTACCACAATAAGTCACAATACCATGGCTACCACAATAAGTCACAATACCATGGATGCCACAATAAGTCACAATACCATGGATGCCACAATAAGTCACAATACCATGGATGCCACAATAAGTCACAATACCATGGCTACCACAATAAGTCACAATACCATGGATGCCACAATAAGTCACAATACCATGGATGCCACAATATGTCACAATACCATGGCTACCACGATAAGTCACAATACCATGGCTACCACAATAAGTCACAATACCATGGCTACCACAATAAGTCACAATACCATGGATGCCACAATAAGTCACAATACCATGGATGCCACAATAAGTCACAATACCATGGCTACCACAATAAGTCACAATACCATGGCTACCACAATGAATCACAATACCATGGCTACCACAATAAGTCACAATACCATGGATGCCACAATAAGTCACAATACCATGGCTACCACAATAAGTCACAATACCATGGCTACCACAATAAGTCACAATACCATGGATGCCACAATAAGTCACAATACCATGGCTACCACAATAAGTCACAATACCATGGCTACCACAATAAGTCACAATACCATGGCTACCACAATAAGTCACAATACCATGGATGTCACAATAAGTCACAATACCATGGCTACCACAAAAGTCACAATACCAGGGATGCCACAATAAGTCACAATACATGGATGCCACAATAAGTCACATACCATGGATGCCACAATAAGTCACAATATCATGGCTACCACATAAGTCACAATACCATGGATGCCACAATAAGTCACAAATCATGGCTACCACAATAAGTCCAATTTTCATGGATGCCACATAAGTCACAATATCATGGATGCCACAATAAGTCACAATACATGGCTACCACAATAAGTCACAATACCATGGATGCCACAATATGTCACAATACCATGGATGCCATAAGTAAACAATATCATGGATGCCACAATAAGTCACAATACCATGGCTACCACAATAAGTCACAATGCCATGGATGCCATAAGTCACAATATCATGGATGCCAAAATAAGTCACAATACCATGGCTACCACATTAAGTCAAAAATACCATGGATGCCACAATAAGTCACAATACCATGGCTACCACAATAAGTCACAATACCATGGATGCCAAATAAGTCACAATACCATGGCTACCACAATAAGTCACAATACCATGGCTACCACAATAAGTCACAATATCATGGATGCCAAATAAGTCACACTACCATGGCTACCACAATAAGTCACAATACCATGGCTACCACAATAAGTCACAATATCATGGATGCCATAAGTCACAATATCATGGATGCCATAAGTCACAATATCATGGATGCCACAATAAGTCACAATACCAGGGCTACCACAATAAGTCACAATACCATGGCTACTACAATATGTCACACTACCCTGGATGCACAATAAGTCACAATACCATGGATGCCACAATAAGTCACAATACCATGGCTACCACAATAAAGTCACAATACCTTGGATGCCACAATAAGTCACAATACCATGGATGCCACAATAAGTCACAAAAATCATGGATGCCACAATAAGTCACAATACCATGGCTACCACAATAAGTCACAATACCATGGATGCCACAATAAGTCACAATACCATGGATGCCACATATGTCACCAATACCATGGCTACCACGATAAGTCACAATACCATGGCTACCACAATAAGTCACAATACCATGGCTACCACAATAAGTCACAATACCATGGATCCCACAATAAGTCACAATACCAGGGATGCCACAATAAGTCACAATACCATGGATGCCACAATAAGTCACAATACCATGGCTACCACAATAAGTCACAATACCATGGATGCCACAATAGTCACAATACCATGGATGCCACAATATGTCACAATACCATGGCTACCACGATAAGTCACAATACCATGGCTACCACAATAAGTCACAATACCATGGCTACCACAATAAGTCACAATACCATGGATGCCACAATAAGTCACAATACCATGGATGCCACAATAAGTCACAATACCATGGCTACCACAATAAGTCACAATACCATGGCTACCACAATAAATCACAATACCATGGCTACCACAATAAGTCACAATACCATGGATGCCACAATAAGTCACAATACCATGGATGCCACAATATGTCACAATACCATGGCTACCACGATAAGTCACAATACCATGGCTACCACAATAAGTCACAATACCATGGCTACCACAATAAGTCACAATACCATGGCTACCACAATAAGTCACAATACCATGGATGCCACAATAAGTCACAATACCATGGATGCCACAATAAGTCACAATACCATGGATGCCACAATAAGTCACAATACCATGGCTACCACAATAAGTCACAATACCATGGATGCCACAATAAGTCACAATACCATGGATGCCACAATATGTCACAATACCATGGCTACCACGATAAGTCACAATACCATGGCTACCACAATAAGTCACAATACCATGGCTACCACAATAAGTCACAATACCATGGATGCCACAATAAGTCACAATACCATGGATGCCACCAAAGTCACAATACCATGGCTACCACAATAAGTCACAATACCATGGCTGCCACAATGAATCACAATACCATGGCTACCACAATAAGTCAAAAATACCAATGGATGCCACAATAAGTCACAATACCATGGCTACCACAATAAGTCACAATACCATGGCTACCACAATAAGTCACAATACCATGGATGCCACAATAAGTCACAATACCATGGCTACCACAATAAGTCACAATACCATGGCTACCACAATAAGTCACAATACCATGGCTACCACAATAAGTCACAATACCATGGATGCCACAATAAGTCACAATACCATGGATGCCACAATAAGTCACAATACCATGGATGCCACAATAAGTCACAATATCATGGCTACCACAATAAGTCACAATACCATGGATGCCACAATAAGTCACAATATCATGGCTACCACAATAAGTCACAATCCATGGATGCCACAATAAGTCACAATATCATGGCTACCACAATAAGTCACAATACCATGGATGCCACAATAAGTCACAATATCATGGCTACCACAATAAGTCACAATACCATGGATGCCACAATAAGTCACAATATCATGGCTACCACAATAAGTCACAATACCATGGCTACCACAATAAGTCACAATACCATGGATGCCACAATAAGTCACAATACCATGGCTACCACAATAAGTCACAATACCATGGATGCCACAATAAGTCACAATACCATGGATGCCACAATAAGTCACAATATCATGGATGCCACAATAAGTCACAATACCATGGATGCCACAATAAGTCACAATACCATGGCTACCACAATAAGTCACAATACCATGGCTACCACAATAAGTCACAATACCATGGCTACCACAATAAGTCACAATACCATGGCTACAACAGCTCACAATACAGCTTCCACTTAGAGAGAAAACCTTAGATATTTTATTCCCTCCAGGTCCATAAAGTCACAAGTGAGTGAGAAACAGCAGAGAAGTCCAGAAGACAGTGAAGAGAAAATAGCAGCAGCAGTACTGCTATTTCTATTTTGTCTCCCTCTTTCCAACCTATCTTCTAGTCTTTACTTTTCTCTCTCAATCGTAACTTCATAATGGCTCAGGACACACCCAAACACTGCCTAATACTTCCTCTCTAAGAGCGATTTATATGTGAACGTTCCTTCGCTGTTAGGCAGGAGTTACACTACCAAGAAGACTAAGTGACAATCACACAGGTAAAAGTCACTACTGACAACCAAGACTAGGTGACATTCACACAGGTGAGAAGTCACTACTGACAACCAAGACTAGGTGACATTCACACAGGTGAGAAGTCACTACTAACAACCAAGACTAGGTGACATTCACACAGGTGAGAAGTCACTACTGACAACCAAGACTAGGTGACATTCACACAGGTGAGAAGTCACTACTGACAACCAAGACTAGGTGACATTCACACAGTTGAGAAGTCACTACTAACAACCAAGACTAGGTGACATTCACACAGGTGAGAAGTCACTACTGACAACCAAGACTAGGTGACATTCACACAGGTGAGAAGTCACTACTAACAACCAAGACTAGGTGACCAAGTCATATATTAGAGACCTACTACTAGCAACTAAAACTAGGTAGTGCCTGAGGGAGGGGCTAAGGTTTGTGAGGAATACCTCGAGGGATACCTCCGTGAGGGGGGATTCCTCCTTGTGAGGGGGATATCTCTCTGTGAGCGGATACCTCCCTGTGAGGTATACCTGCTAGGAATACCGCACATGGTTATAGATTGGGTTGGGACTGGAGATAGTGTTACTAGCACACAGTACCATGTTGGAGGTTATGATACCCTTAGTGTGAGGTGTTGAGGAGGTTGTGTTAGTAGGCCCCGACACACGCTAGTACCTGATAGGGGCATCCTTGTTTGGGCGCCGTGAGTTGCCTGCTGAGGATGCAGGGGCCACATCCATGGACGAAAAGCTACCCACGCCCATTATTTTAGCTGCCACGCTTATAGGTGGCGGCGTGTGAGGTGGAGGGGTCTGACCTGTTGGCGTGTGAGCTCGAGGCGTGTGTGATGGAGGCGTGTGTGACGGAGGCGTGTAGGGTGGGTGCATGAGGGCGGAGAGAACCGGGGTGACAGGCAGGTCTTGGTGTCCAGGGCAGGTTAACACACCAGAGAACAAGGCCCGCGCCAGCCCATCAACACTGTGGACCACAACAACTTCTTCTCAGACATTACTACACACAAAAATTCCTACTGTATATAATACATTAATACCTTTTAAAAATTAACCCTCTAACTAGTTTTTCCTAAGTGGAATGATACAAAACTCTAATTGTATATAATACAGTAATACAAAACCTCTAAAAAAATAAACTTATTTTCCCTAAGTGGAATAATACAATTCAATTTATTTACACTAAAAAGAAATACATTTGGTATTAAACGCTTTAAGTATGTCTTATTCATAAATGTAAAACATTATCTGAATAAACATTCAGGTTGCGAGGTACTAACAATACAGCAGAGATAACAAGCAACATAACACCGAACTAGATGTGACTTCCAAACACAACTAGTTCAGTAATTATAACAGAATGTGTATCACAGAAAACACGTTCACAAGATGAGGTCCACAGGTCTTCAGCAAGACTGGTTCCACAAGTCAGAGGCTTTTAACTATGAGAACACAGTAAAGGAGATGAACCTCAAACCAGACAGGTTAAAGGAGACAGTGGAAAAGGTAATCAGTCCCTCAGCCTAGGAAAAGGTGATAGCCACCTGCTCCTAGGCTGAGGGACTGATTACCTCCTCTTCCACTGTGTTTTGTATACATTTCTACAGTCATCAAATAATGTCCATGTATCTGTATTACTAAATCCAATGGATGTCAAAACCTCTGTAAAGATACGCAGATGTTGCATATGTGTCTAATTCGTCATCTTGTTGGTACTGAATACCATAAAAACACATCATCCAGGAGGTCTGGTCCGGGAAACGTAACCTCGGAATCACCTTGATATAAGCAACGACGCATAAGATTATGCTACTTACCATACATTTAGGCGGCCTTAAGGAAGCACTGTCTTAAATGGAGTTGGTGTCACGACAGTAATTACTGATAAGTGTGAGGCAGGTATTACTGAGCAGGATGCACTCATACTCGCACCTAACTTGCCAAGGTAGGAGGTAACGGAGTAATCATGCAGCATTAAGAAGTCTTCGTTCCTTCTGGTGTTGCTCTGTCACTCACTAGCAATCTTCTCCATATCATTTATCTCTGTGATATACCTAGCTACCGCTTTCCAGAGTTGGTGTAATACGTGTTAGTGCTTCGGGGGATTATTGTCTCTACGGCCCGGTCTCAGACCAGACCTCCTAGGATGGAAGGACATATTACAGGCTTAAGAACTATTACAAAAATAAGTAAAGACATGTTTATATTGAATGTAAGAAGAGGTTTGTAAGAGATGGTATTAAATACGGATAAGTATATAAATAAGGCACATTTATAGCAATAGGATATTTACTGAGACGTTTACAGTTGCTTGATCAATCCAATTACATCGATAAAACTTTTGTAAGGTCAACGTTTCCTCGATATTCTAGTACTATAGTTACATCTTGCTTACACACTGTTTACTCTCGTAGCTGGGCCTGAAGCCACACCTTGTTGTTGACAGCCTGATCAACAACGCTGCTGATGCAGGTCAACATAACCAACAAAAACTATCTGGTCTGACATTCCTTGCTCAGCAGTTGTACAATTTTCCCTTAAAAACTTCTACCTCTCTTCAAGTAATATTTGTCACATTTTATAGCACGTACGTACATACGTGCGTGCGTGCGTGCGTGCGTGTGTGGGGGGGGCTGTTGGAGTCGGCCTTTCAACTTGAATATTCCAAGTTTACTTCCTTGTATCACGGTAGCCCCTGTGGGTCTACTGCACTGGTCCTCAATGATCTTACATTAGGTTGTAAGAACTTTACACCTCCTCGCCCACATAACGGCTCATAACAAGCACATTAACGAAATTTAACTTTGTGATTGGTGTGGCACACCTTATAAACCAAGGTCACAGGTGGCTACAGTGCCTTAATAAGCACCTACGGGAAGGATAACAAGGAAGACAACGTTAACACCCACGTTCATCACTATCCTTAACATGTGAGATTTCCTTTCCAATCTTCCAACCTTGAGAGCTGCAATAACCTTGTAAAAGCAATTTCTTAACCAAGACATGTATTAATTTTTTACCTTGGCCGACTAATGGTACTAGACAGAACGCTGCTCTCACACAATCCCTTACAGACTTCCGCTAATTAAATTAAGCTGTGTGATAAAGCACTAAAACAAGCTATGCATACAGAAAACAAAAGCACAAAGAATAGATATATTTCAGGCATGTTTGTGCTACAATTCTGTGTTTGTAAACCCTTAATTGCTTCCCAAGTGTACCATTTGTAATTTTGGGAGACCTGTGTTTACGTTTGGTGTGGGACCCTCCTGCGTTTCTTGTTGTGCTTGTTCCTGTGTTTGGTATTGCTGCTGCAGCAGCCAGGTTATTGTGCACCGCAAATCTATCCTGTGGCTGGTAGCGCAAGAGCATGTGGATACACAAAATACCTAGGAACTAGGCTTTGAAAGGATTGACAAAAATACTGTACACCTTCAAATATATTTACAAAATATATTTGATCTTTTACAAACAAATTTAGGATATGTGAGTAAAATGTCTGGTATCTTATTTTCACTAAAAATATACCATGACATATCACATAGTTCACTATACTACTACTAAAGTCCTCAATATGTGCATAATCAAACACACACTGCTCAGGAAAGTGACCATAAAGCTGACCACATAGTTTGCATTTAGCGTGATCATCGTCTGTGTTTATGGCAAATTGCCGGATTTACTTGAAACTAAGCCTAAGCCTGGCTACACCAGTCAATGTGTGCATGTTAAACTGCCAGAAGTACTTGTACTGAAACTCAAGCCTGGCTATTACAGTATCAGTATGTATGCTACACTGCCAAAAATACTTGTAATCAAGCCTAAGATAGTTTAAGATCTTTATCATGCACCCCATACCCATCCTGTGGGTGCTAGTCAAAGGATTACAGAGAAAATTGAAAGAAACCCGAAATATTTATTTTCTTATGCCAAATCTAAGTCGAGAACAACTTCCAGTATTGGGCACCTACTTAGACGAGATGGGTCCTACACAGATGACAACGACGAAATATGAGTGAGCTACTGAAGTCCCCAAGATGACTCGGTTTTTAGCGAGCCGTTAACCAGACTGAGTGTCGAAGACCTTGGTGAATTTTTTTATGAGCGAGACAGAATTTGGCAGATTCAGTCCTATCTAATATTATCCTGACATCAAATGACTTCGGAAAGGCGATAAATGACATGCCCATGCCCTCTTTCCCAGGCCCAGACTCGTGGAACTCCTTGTTTATCAAGAACTGCAAGAAACTCCTATCACGTGCTTTTAACATCCTATGAAGAGGGAGCATGGACACAGGGGTCGTCCCACAGCTGCTAAAAACAACAGACAAAGGGGCAGTAGTGCAATAGCAAAGAACTACAGACCGATAACAATGCCTTCGTCTGCTACCCGTCCCCTTGTCTGACGCCAGTATATAAGCGCCAGCCTTCTTGCCTGTGCTCTAGATTCTTCACAACTACGGTGTTCACACCAACTCCAAGGCTGAGGGACTGATTACTTAATCTTTTGTATATAGTTATACGTCCTTTTTATCATAATTATAAATTTACACAGATTTCTAACTGCATTACTATGACAGGTTAAATTTTTACCTTTCTTCTAATACATTTTTTAATGCTTGACACTAACTTCTTCCTTCAAAATACTTTTTTTTACCTATTTATCAGCTTTATTAATGAATGCAATACGAGATGTAATCCGTAAGGATCGTTTAGTTGCCTTCTAAATGCCCATTTCATATATAAATGTGGCTTATCCAGTGAACATGTGGTCAGATTCATTATGCAGCAACCTGCCTTCTGTGATCACATAGAATCAGTAATGATCAAGGAATTGAGCTCATCGCCATGAGCTAACTTTGGTGCCATTACAAGGATAACACAGGTTTTTATTGTGGCAACGTTTCGCTCTCCAGGAGCTTTATCAAGTCGTTACCGTCTTTAATGCAATTTTCCAGCTTCTAAGTGTTAAGATTAATTCAACATGGTTGTTATACTTGTTATCTAGGAAAGTAGCTAGAGTAGATGTAGCCCTGCCAGTAGACTCTTGCTTAGATGCATCAGTACATAATTTGTGATATATTTTTACTTAACAGACGAGGAATTTCTTCCTGAGCAATTTTCTTTTTAAGCATTTGCCTTTGTAAGTGCCCAAGAAGTCCCCACGAAGGTCCCAAGAAATGTTTCTTGCGAGGAGCTTTAAGTTATGCAGATAATATTATCTGAACACATTTTCCATGGAATGTTCTTGTTGTTTATAAGAGGAAGTTAATATCATCACATGTTTTAACAATCCATTTAGATTTGTATATTTACCCGGAGACATTTGGCAAGACTGATGGTGACGGCGTTTCTTTTATTTCTCAATATCTGTTAGTCTTAACTTGTGTGTTTTTTCTCCTTTCTATGATGTTTCTCTTCTCTCTGTAGGATATTTTTCCCTCCTCTCTGTAGGATATTTATATATAGGATGTTTCGCCTCTCTCCCTCTGAGGAGTAAGAGTGCTGAGGAAACTCCTGGGTAGGAGAGCAGTTTAACAACTTCCTTCTCAGGAAACTCCTGGGTAGGAGAGCAGTTTAACAACTTCCTTCTCAGGGAACTCTTGGGTAGGAGAGCAGTTTAACAACTTCCTTCTCAGGGAACTCCTGGGTAGGAGAGCAGTTTAACAACTTCCTTCTCAGGGAACTCTTGGGTAGGAGAGCAGTTTAACAACTTCCTTCTCAAGAAACTCCTGGGTAGGAGAGCAGTTTAACAACTTCCTTCTCAAGAAACTCCTGGGTAGGAGAGCAGTTTAACAACTTCCTTCTTACTGGCCTCTTCCCTGTGTCTTATCTTAATATTTGTTTCTGGTTAGTGGTATTTCCTTCAAGGGGTTTCCCTTATGCCCGTGAAGGGCTCTTAATTCAAGGAACTGAAACAACCCTCTTTCTCCAGTGAAGCAAGTTCAGACACAGCTTCTGATGTGT